TGCCAGGAAAGATGTGGGGCTGCACCCGGTGTGTCTGGCTCTACAGGTCCCGTGGCTGGGGGCAGGAGTAGAGCTGAACCACCCGCTGGCTTTTTGCTTCTTGGTTTTTGTGTTTTGAACTTGCTGCACCTGAAGTCCGTCCTGACGGCAGGTCGGGGTCAGCCCCTTGGAATGTTGGGCGCAGTTATCTGTGTGTGCTCAGGGTGGCACACCTCTGTATCTGCGAGCTGACATAGTGCTGCTTTTCTCGTGGATGTGATGTGCTTTGGACAATAAATAAAGTTTTTGGTTAAGTAAGAGTTTTCATGGGCCTCTAAGAATAACTAAATGTAGGCATGTCGCAGAGAAACTTTTGCAGTTTAGGATATTCTAGAAGTACTTGTTATGATATGGTAGTACCCTTTCTTGAAGCCTGATTTCCAAGCTATCAAGCAGATGTTCCTAGCATAACTTTATGTGAGCAGAGTAGGAAATCTTAGTAAGGAAAACCTGACAGCTGCTCTTAGATGTGCCCCCTGAGGATAAACTGAACAGAGAGTAATATCCCTGATCTCACTTTATAGTCTTTTTTATTCTTGGAAAAGCTCTTTGTTACCTCTTACCTACCTGTTACCAGAATGTTTGCTGTTCTGGCGCTGTCCCTTACTTTCATAGAACAGCATTTAAAATAAAACTTTTCTAGGTGTTGTTGAATATTGACAATCTGTTATTTTCATTTTACCCAGGGGAGACTATCTACGATGCTGCAAGTTCTGTTACCCATTATGCGCGTTTGTCATTCTTGCCGCTTGTGTGGTAGCGTGTGTTGGCTTAGTCTGGATGCAGGTGGCTCTCAAGGAGGATCTGGATGCAATAAAGGAGAAGTTTCGAACTAGTAAGTATAAATGTAACTGCTATGCTATTTCACATTTGCTTTGGGCAGTATGAAGAGCTTTATTTGCCTACCTACTTATCCAAAGTCTGAAAGTACTGAGCAGACAAACTGCCCCTGAACTGAGGAGTCCTCTGAGCCAAAAACACTTGGAGGCTGGGCGAATCTAAGGCAAATATTACATATTCGTGTCTGCTCTGTATCTTCTGAGGAGCAGGGACACTGGATGAGATGGGTCTGTAGTTGTTTGTACATACATTTCTAAAATTGCTGACTTTGGTCTTGGGAGAGCTCTCTTCCAAAGGAAGCCCCTATTTAAAAAGAAAAAGTTCTGATCAGCCCTTTAAAAGTAGTCTGGCAGATTTCGATGCATCCCTTAAAAAATCAAAAGAAAACAATGTTCTTGTCTTGAGCTCTTTTAAAAACATCTGATCCTTGCTATGATGTTTCTTCAGTTTGAATGTTGCTTTGGTATTATGTTTTTATTCGTATCCTCTGAATGTTTATCTTGCTTGCTTTGACCTGTTCTTGTTCAACTTTTATGTTGTTGCATATAGTGTGGAGTTACATCGTGTTTAATACTTTGAAGTATGGAGTTAATGTGAAACATTTTGCTTCTAGGTCTTAAGTTTTCCCTGTCCATGTAAGATTTCAATATTATAACTTCTGTAGTGCTGAGGTATAACAAATGGTGAGATTTATATGTAATGGATGCTCTCGGTTCTCTGTTCCTCACCTCTGAACGCAGGATATGTTTTGGTGCCTTATTTTAGTAGTGTTTAAGGTCCTATATATTGAAAAAGGCAAGGATAAGTTGAGGAGCTGTGTGAATGGAGCACAAGAGTGAATCTTAAGCATTCAGGTAGTCTCTAGCTGCTTCAGGAAACCTAAGTAGTTAGGTTTTTGCCTGAGGAGCACTGCTGTTGATTGTGGGTTTTGTCCCATAGCTTTGGTCTTCATCTTAGAGTTTTTGTGTGCACATGAGGAAATGCATGTAGAAATTCTTTGCTGTCAGTGTTTAGGGTTTCCTGTTCAGTTGTGTAACTCTGCTGTGAGGTGGGGAGTTGTCTGCCAAGGTGGAACCTGTTGGCTTGGAGTGAGAGAAAGCACTGGTGTTAGATGTGCTTTTATATTAACTGATCCTGAACTCTGAAAGTTAGCTGTAACTGGAATCTACCAGTTAGGGAGGATACCTTCGGTTCCAGGCGCTGCTTGGTGGCTGTGAGATTACTGAACAGCTCTGCAGTAGTTGTTTCTGTGTTCTGGGTCTGCTGCTCTTCATGGACTGGTCTGCTTTAACTATGTACTGGCAGTAAAAGTTTTGCATGATGACAACATCTGTTGGCTTTGGTGTAGTTAAGTTTCATCATTCCTGTTCTACAGAGACTTCTTTGTTAAAGCAGTTGTTCTCTCTGAGTTTGCTGCCTGGCAGTTACAGATATGCTTGTTTTCTCCTTAGTAGCTCTGATAGAAAGCTGTGCATTTAACGCTTTGTCTGATGATAAGAGTCTCAGATTTCCTTGCCAGTGTAATAGCATGCCTAGAAGCTGGATGGGAGTCTCATAAGGGGAGACAGCATTAAAAAACAACAAAAAAGCAGACAGCGAGAATAACCTGATTCCAAAAGGTAACATTGTGCTGTGGTGAGATGTGTGCGGTGGATGGAGAAATAAATTTTTTTTACAGCAAGTTTGGAAAAAGAACCTTCCTCCTCTGAATCTTCATCCAGATTTTTTTCTCCCACAAGAGCAGATTCCCGTGGCAGTTTTTGTTAACATTCTGCCATCCTTTGAACAAATTGAGTATGGTATGGGTGCTTTTTAAAAATAAGACAACTTTACATCTAGTATGTTTAGGATGGGGGAAGTCATTGTGGTGTTTCCCTTCAGTTGTTAGTAAGGATGCTAAGAATGCATATTGTACTTAACCTTCCTAGCACTGTGAAAAGCTCTTTAGTGGAGTCTCACTGTACACAGTGAGAGTGGCAAAACAGAAAATAATTTGTCTACAGGAGCCTCTGAAACATCAGATTCAGTGTGAACTGCTTGTGTCAAGCGCACAATTAGCTCTGTCTGTTTTGGCTAAAATATACCTTTCAAGGTCTTACTTAACCAAAAGTGTTATTTGGATCTTGGGTGATCAATGGAGATTACTCGGTACCTAAAAATGACTTTTAGGACTTCAAGAAAAGTGAAGCGAGTTTTTGAAGACGCATGGCTTTCCAGTTGTGTGTATTTGGGCATCCACTCCATGGGCAGGAAGTGCTCCTGAAGGCTTCCACTTTTGACCTGATGAGTCACACATGGAAATGTGTTCTGGGAGCTGCCCAGCTACATAGCACAGAGGTGCCACTGCTCTTGGCACTGTGGTCTGGATGATGGCGGTTTGTTGTGGAGCATTCCAGGGTGGACGTGCAGGTTTTGGAGAACTGTCATCTCCACCTCAAAACTTTGCTTGTTTGTTTCTCAGACCTAGGGATTTAGGATTGCCTAATAGCGCTTGCAGCTAAACAGCTTAGTCACTGCAGACCTGGAAGAGCTGCATTTCTGAGGCTTGCTGGAATTAGTTTGAGCTGCACGTTTCCACCTTCCTGTTGTAATAATTGCAGTAATAGCTGACTGTATTTCCAGGGACCTTGTTTACAGAATTGTTTACCAACAGTCATTGGTATGTAAGCTTATATTTTTTTTTTCAGTTGTCTTTCTGTCACATGGAATAACTGTAATCATGTTAATCTTTTCGGAATTCACTTCATTGTCAGCAGCCCCTTTGCAGGCTTGAGAAGGGCAGCTGAGGTTCATTTCAGGCACCTCCTTTGCCCTGGTACTGTTGGCAGTTCCTATTCACAGTCCCATTACTCTTTCATGTTCCTCTGGGAAAGTAATGCAAAATAACTGCACTACATAAAGACCTGCTGAGGCCTGCCAGAGTGACAGTACTATTGAAAAGTGTTAAATTTAGTGTGATCTCTCTGCAGGCATTAGTACTCTTAAAACAAAAAAGAACTGTCGTTATGAACAAACACTTAATTCAGAATTAGCAATAAACCCATATGTAGAAACTGTTATAATTTTCTTTCACTGCTCTAGATGTTGCTTCTTGTAATTTTTCTGCCTTTCAACATCGTTTACCTGGACTTTTGGTCTTTTTTTAAAACAATTTTTTCTTTCTTTTTTTTTAGTGGAATCTAATCAAAAGACATCATTCCAAGAAATTCCTAAACTGAATGAAGATCTGGTGCAGAACCAAAAGCAACTAGAGCAAATTGAGACTGGAGAACTGGGGCTAAATAAAATTTGGATAAATATTACAGAGATCAGTAAACAGGTGAGAGGGATTAGGGCTTGGTTTTGAAAAATAATAAAATGTTCCATTCTAATTTCCTTGTACAGAAATTAATTTCAAGTGCAGTGAAGTCCTTCTGTCTAAGGACTTCTGTGACCATATGCTAAACTTGTATTTTTAAAGGTAAAATTGGAATATAAGCCTTCTTATTAAACAAGCAAAAAAAGTTTGAGCATCCAGTTGGACGGGAGGCTGATCACAAAGAGGAGGAATTGCACAACTGGTGGAAAGGCTCCAGGCGGAACTTAAAAGAACCTGAGAACTGTGCAGTTCATAGTTTTCCAGCCAAATATTTGTGATGTTTATGATGAGGGATTTGACATTTCAAATTTCTGAGAGTGTCTGCAAATGTTTCATAAGCATGGAAAAGGGTTACCTGAGTTGGTGCAAGTCCGTATTGCTACAAATGAAGTCCTGGTGTCTCGTGAATGTAAAATCTGCTAATACGCAGTTGGAATCTGAGCCAGTGTAAATCTTAGCTCTGTTTATGTGGCCAGAACTAAGCCACTTAACAGAGAGCTGTTTCCTCAGCTGCTGTATTAACTCATGCTTCAAACAAAGCATCCAGCAGGGCTCTTACTGAAATTCTTGCCTTGGAGAGTAAAAGTTCAGAGCTGCTCACAGTTAGGGCTGTGAAGAAGTGTGTGGATGGAACCCTCTCTGATACTGGTGCTGTGAGCTCAAGAGTACTGAGGTGCCTGCTCAGATTGTTTTTTCTTCAGTCCCATGCAGTGATTAAGTGCTTAATGGGGAGCAGAAATATATTTGAAAATTTGACTTGATTTCTTTGGCAACTGACAGTATGTATTATCCACAGAAATTTAGGTGCTTCATTGGACTTTTAAAACACTATTGTCTGCACCTGGATGTTAAGGATAGTTGCACATGGTTATTGCAGGCCCTTGAGTTACTGCGGGGTCTGGTTACAGCCTGAGCCAGCTCTTCCAGGGATCAAAATGTAGTTACTGTTTTTTTCTGTAAATTGTTGGGATGCACTGCTGGGAATTATTTCAGCCAATATTCACAGCTGTGGAACCGGAGACTCTGCAATTCAGCTGGTCAAGTTTGGCCTAATGTAAAATTAGAATCATGCCCATTTTCTTAGCTTGCAAAACAACTTTTTTTTTTTTTTTTAACCAGAAGAAAGGGGGTTTTATCTGCTCTACTTTTGTATTGTCAAATGTGAGAAGAAATTATTTTTCTTCATTTTGACTACTGATGGCTACAAATTATCTTAAAGTGATAGTGTAAGCAATTAATGGCCAGCGTGTTGTTGGTTTTAATTTATTTGACAACCTCTTGATTGGAATGAATAAGTAATCTTGTAGACCCATTGTTTAATTTGCTGTCTGGGTCAAACAATTGACAGAAATTGAGCTAACCTGCTGCATCTGTATTGTCACTGTTCCACTTCTGTAGCAGAAGGTTTGGGTGATATGTGCACCTTCTTTGCCTGTCACTCAGAGAAGTTGCTTGGCTTTGCTGGGTTTTGCCAGGCAGGTTTGATTGCTAAATACAGAAGTGGATGACTATTTCATCAACGTCAGGGCTTCTTGCACAATTAAAAAAAATCTTTCTTGGGCAACAGCCTCTCTCTAAGGGGCTGAATATAAAATGGGCACAGGATACCTTACTGAAAAGAACGGACTTCTGTGGCTTTCATTCAGTTAAAAAAGAAAAATCTCACTTCTGTTGCAAGAGGCAGAATATTTTAAATGCAGCCTAGGCAGGACTTCTAACCTAGAGTCCAGGTCTTGTGTGTGTGTGTGTACATAATATTGTCTTGCCTTATGTTTTAATGTTACAAATTAAGTCATTAGTGTTGGGGAAGGTCAGAATCAGGATTAGGTTGACTAATTCTAAATATTCCTCTTTGGTTTTAGATATCAGTATTGACCTCAACAGTAAATCATCTCAAAAACAACATAAAGTCTGCTTCTGATCTGATCGCTCTTCCTGTCACAGTAGAGAAACTTCAGAAGGCAAGTGCTGTAAACGTGGCTGTTGCTAAAGGTATTCTGTGCTGCTCTGAGCTGTAGCTGGGCTTTTGGGGACAGGAGTGACATCAGGAGTTATCTGAATTGCATGTGAGGAATATTTGCTTCTGTTGTTTTTAAATTGGACTTCATATATTTGTGGTCCTATGATAACATATGGCAAGTAAAAAAACCAGAAGGCTTTGTTTGTCCCTTTCTGGAGATGCATTTGTTTGTATTATGTTGTCCCTTCTTTACCTTGGAGCTGATCTTTCTGGTCGCTTTCCTTCAGGTTGCTGATCTTAATATCATTTAACATACTTGCAAAATGTCTGTCTGCAGTTTTACAACTTTGCTTTGCAAATAGGTGGTTTGTTTAACTTTTTCAATTGGAAAAGAAAGTGGATTGCTTTCTGGAAAACTTCTTCATCTTGAGCAGTGTATAGTTCTACATCTGGCTCTGCATTTACAGTCTTGAGGCGGGCAGGGGTCTAACTCGGGAGCTGTGAGCTGGAACATTCGTGTGGGAGCTTTCTTGGTGTTCAATACATGCACAGCAAAACATGAGTTGTACTGGCATGGGTTTCTGACAGTCCCTTGAAAGATGGGCCCTACTGGGTGACACAAGCTTATGTCTAAAGATATTTCTGTTAATACAGTGTTTTACCGCGTGCCTTGGCTGAGCATTCTTTACCAAAGACCTGTCCTGTTTATTTTGGTAAAAAGAATGACTTGTTGAAACTTCCTTGGCTTTTCCATGGCAGTTCTGTTTATTTAGCAATAAACATTTATATTGGGCCAACACCTAATGTCAGTCCAGTTGTCTTTGTGGCTTTTATGCGTTTCCACTTCTCATTTCTTATCCCTACAAAATTAATGCATAATTAACAAGCTAGTCCTATGCAAAACAATTAGTGTGGTTTGGCTGATCAGGCTGGTAGGATTTCTTTTTCTGGGAGGAGTACGAAACTATTTCCTAAGCTTCTAATTTGCTTTTATGAGCATGCTGGATTTTCACTGTGTTGTATCAGAACTAAGTCTTAAGGCAGTACCTAGAGTCTGGAACCTGCACCTGCTTTATTTATGTAATGATATAATACAGAAAAACCTTGTTGGCATGTTGCTGTCTTCAGTACTGTCAGGACGAAGTGTTCGGGCCAACAGACTTCAGCAAGGCTTTTTCATGTTGGAATAAATCCATCCTTGGTCACACTGTGTGAAAATCAAAGATCTTGAAAACTTTTGAGTTCTTTCCAGCCTTTGTCATTGAGCCGAAGTAAAGTGTTAGCTGTGGCATCTGTTGCCACTGCTCTCTTGATGCCATCTTACTTGCATTTAGGTTTTGGAGCTGGAATCTTTCCAGGAGGTATATTATGAGGTGTTAAGTGTAGAAAAACTATTCAGAGGTTTCAATATAGGTTTAATGGTTTGTAAGAGTCATGTTAATGAAAAATGATAGGTTTCAAGACTTGGACTTCTTTGACCCCTGTGTGCATGCTGCACTGCCTCCTGTCTCACAGGAGAGCTCAAGTGGGTGTAGGCTGGTAGCCTGGCTTTTGATAGCCCTGGTGAAAAATCTCCTGCTCAGCTGTCCATTTCATCCAGCTGTCTTTCGAATTACCTGCCTTTCTTGCAAGAAAAGACTGCTATTCTTAGAATACAATTTTGGTTTTCTTAAGCCTTTTCCCTCTAGGTACTGTTCCTGAAAATGGGGAGCTGGCTGCTGGTGTTAAGAGTCCTGAAGGATTACTGGGAGAGTTCCCCTTGGACAGTGGCTTGTGTTCAGACTGATGAAAGGTGCTAAAGGTGTCCTGAGGTCCTTCAGGACAGAGAGATAGCTTACTATACCTGTGTTCAGGCTTGCAAAATGAAGAGCTGGAGGAAGATTTGTGTGGCTGTTGTTTGAATATAGTCTAGGTAGCTAGAGGGTCACTTGAGTGCCTTAAGGGCTTATAAGAGGGTCACGGGAAAAGGGGATTTTTTATATAGATTCTGTTTGTTTTAATGATTGAATAAAGTGTTAAAAATGGAATGAGAAGCATAGGGGTATGTTGTGTGCCATTACTGTAACTTCCACTCCTATTTGTGGATGTCCTAGCTGACAATCTGACTGATAGGTGCTGTACTGTCAGCTGCTAAAACACCAGTGCAGCTTTGTAGAATACACTTTCTAAAGTTAGAATATACTTTCTAAATATAGAGCTGGGGATGGGGGAGTTCACATAAGTGAAGGCAAGGGGAGGATGGGATGGGAGCTGTGGGAGCTGTCAGAAGCAAAGGTAGCTGTCACAGCATACTGACTGTACCTGCAGAATTCAGAAGGGCTTTCCTGATGCTTGAGAGCTATTCTTTCATTTAAAAAACACGTAATACTTGCTTGCAAATCTAATTGGTGACCTTTGACAGACTGATTTTCCAGTTTATGTGTCTGATGGGTAGCCCTGACAGACAATTAAGGCAGGGGTAAATGGATGATGTCGGCATCCTTATATTCAATACAAGTACTCCATGTAGAGAGGGGGTAAGTTGTCTTCATTTCAGGATTATATTTTTGTAAATTAATGCCAGAACGTATGTATTGTTTTGTGAGTGAGAGTAGCAAACCTGTAATTTTGCTTATTTAGCTTAAGCTCTTGTGGTGTACAGTGTGTGTTCATTTATTGGCCTGGAGATGTGATGGGTGTCATTTACAGTTTTGTCTGCAAAGGAAGTTTCGAATACTCCAAACTCGCGTGCGTATTTTTGTGGCAGTCTGCCGACAGTTTCACCAGCAAAACATTGTGTTTAGCAGATTGAAACTTTGGAACAGTACAGTTGAGGAAGGCTGAGATTGTCTACTTCTTTCTTCCAGACTGTAGCAAACATAGGTAGCACTCTTACCAGCGTTTCTCATGATGTTGAAAATATACAGACAGCTATTGAAGAATACAAGAAATCCATAGAAATACTCCAGAATGATGTGGTAAGAAAATATACTGATTTAACACTGTGTTTACCTGCCTAATATGAAGCAAGTTTAAGAACTGTGTGGAGTTTTGCCTTAAGCCTTTGAAGTTTTAGTAGGTGCTGTTTGGTACATTCATACACTCATAACCTCTGTGTGGCATCTCCTATACAGTATGTGTTTTTCTGTAGCCAGAATTGTTGGTTCCTTCTATCCTGCATATTTTTGCTTCCTACTACACAGATGTGGAGCCTTGGGCATCTCTGCTTTTGTGTGGTGCAGGCTACTGCTTACAGTAACTGTCTGCACTGTCTTAAGAAGCAGGGATGGTGGAAGCATTGAGATACAGTTTGTTGGTTGACTTAAGGATGCATATAAGGATGAAATTACTGACAGTCTTTACCAGAAACTACTTACTGTTTTTATACTCACCTTTCACTTGGATTTAACAAAATTGAAATTTTTCAGTTAAATTGTGATCCAGTGTTACTTTAACAAGAATACTTGCAGACAAAATCTAAATTAGACACATTATAAAACTTGATCCAGTCAGTGGGTGCTAAGAAAACACTGCGGATATGATAGTGGGTATGGTAGTAGTGAAATGTGTATCATAATACTTCTTTAAAGAGGGAGGAGCTAATTTAGGGGGGCTAATTAAAATAAATTTGAACCTTATGTGTTTGAAACAGGAAAACTCTGTGTTGGTAGACTAGATAGTGAAAATACCTCATGCACAACAGACATGAGTGACTATAACTATAGCAAAACATCCTTAGCTACAGCCTGACAGTAATTAAAAGCTTAGTATTGTTTTTACAGGTGTTTGGTAACATAATTTTCTTCTACTTCCTTTAGAAGGAATTAAAACAGGTACCTTCACTTCCCTCCACTGTTGTGCCAAGGACTGAGGGAAATCAGACAGAAAACTGCAAACAGGTATTTTTCTCTCTTGCATTAAGAATATTTGTACTGCTGTCACTGATACATTTTTGTGTGTTTTGCAGTATTGTAGTGTACAAAAAAACTATGATTTTTATCAAGGCAATACAGATAACATCCTTCAAAACAAAATATAAGGTAATTTTGCTGTAGTTTGTCCCTGTTTATGTGCAAACAGGGGAGTATCCTAGTCTGGGAGTATTTTATTTTTTTTTGGTGTTCTGAGTGAGTAATAAAAAGACTGAAATTAATATCAAACAAATCATAGGTGTACTTTGCTCATATAAATGGAAATGAGTTAAAAGCTTTTTATTTAATGGATTTTATGGCAGGTACTTGACGATATGAGCAAACTTGGGAGTGGCATGGATTGAGCCATGAGGTATGGAAAGCAGGGATTCAGGAGCAAAAAAAAAAGATCATGTGTGGGTGTTTAGCTGAATGACATGAAGGGGAATGACTGCCTTCGTTTACGTTTAGTACAGTCAGTATCTTCCTCAAAAATGAATCTTGTGTATAAATTTGCCTAGTACATGCTTTCTTTGGGAAAATAGTTGGTGTGGTTACTAAGCTTGCCCTGGGCAGTTAGATGAATAGCCTTTCTGTGTTTGCTGGCACGGCTCAAGTGATTCCTTTAGCAACAAAGAGGTTAGCCCTCAGGAAGAATCTCAGTTTCAAACTTTGAAAGCTCGAATATCTTTCTGGAAGCTTCCAGTTGGATGTTTTCAGTGTTGTCAGTGGACAGCCAGTCTAAAGTCTGTCTGGTTAAACTGGGTCAGTCACTATGTTGTTAATAGCAAGAGTGCTGCAGAGGTTGAGTAAACTGACGTGTTCTGGTTTTATGTTTCAGGAAAACCAGTCACTGCATGCAGCTTTGGAGGAGCTAAATAATACTCTAGTGGTGTACCAAAAGTTGAATGACATCAAGCTTCTAAATGTGGATTCAGCCATTGGTAACCTTAGCCGGAGAGTCATGCTGTTAGAAAACTCTCCCCTTGCTGTGAATAATCTGGACAAAAGAGAGAACTTGTCTATCAGTGTGGTAAGTATTTGATGACTAAGGGTGTCTGCTCAAGCTAGTAGTTTCAGTACTTTCTATACACTACAGGTATAGTTTTTCAAACCTAACTAAAGGAAATCTCAGAATAAAACTCGAGATTGGGATTTAATTTTAAAAGGATGGAATTTGTTCCATATTTCTGAACAGATGACCGACGTTAAGAATATCTCTGAAGTAGTAATTTCTTCCCTGCAGAATCTACAGAAAAATGTCCAAAACAATGTAACTTGCAAGACTTTGGGTGACAGCTTAATGGAATAGGATCCAGAAACCTCTTTGTTTTAGGAAGGCACTGGCATGTAAGGAGTCTGTTAAGGCCACTGAGGAGCTACATGAGCCTCTGGATCATTTAGTGGTGCTTAAATGCTAAAAAAAAAATGTAAATTAATACAGTGCTTTCTGTATGCCTTACTGGGCCAGTCTCTGAGATTGTGTCCTGTATGTTTAGCAATAATGAACATGCTGATGTTGCTGTGGTAAATTAAATCACCCATTGTCTTCATGTTTATTGTAGCATGTATTTTCCCTGCTTTTTTTCCTGCTTCTTGCCTGCCAAATTTGAAGGAAAGAAACTTTATTGTAGAAAATAAGCATATGAATAAGCTCAGTTCTCCTCCATTTTTCCTGTAGGGGAATGATGCAACTACCTCTCTAAAAATGGAAAATGAAGATCAACTAGATAATGAAACTCATTCAAATAAAGAACTGAAGGTAAAGAAACTCAAATTACACTGGATTAGTAGAGCATGGCATTATTTTTATAATCATGTTTTAAATGAAACTTGAGGAAAGATTTTCCAGCAGGCTAATCTGATCCAGTTTCTTTTCAAAGTCCAGAGTAGAAGGAGAGCTTACCCACCCCATTTTGGGGACAGGAAGTCAATTAGGATGGAAGAAAAGTTGTAATAGTTAAGTCTTGCCATTCTGACTACATATGGGATAACAACTGTGGCCCGGGGATAAGAGCTGGCACTGCTGAGGTTAGTTTCAGTCTTCTAGAAAGAAAGCAGGTGAGCGAACCAGCTACACTGTCAGTTCTAGGCCTGGATTTATGTGAACTCAACCTGTCATCTAGAACCTACTCATAGAAAGAGCAAAGGTGCTGCAGATGGAAAAATGTGGTGATTTTTGACAGAAGGTAGTCAGTACTGCAGGCAAACATTTAAAACAATAATGCAGTTCAATTAATGTGTGAATGTTTGCTACAAGTATGTTTGGTTTATATTATGATTTTTCAGAGTCTTGCTCATTTGTATAAGAAATACAGAAATTACAGGTCAGATTATTTTGAAATCAGTGTCTGCAAAATAGTTGCCTACTTTTCAGGTTGAGGCATTGATTCTATTGTTTTCTTACAGACCGTGTGAATTTATTCCTTACATCTTTCTGCGAAATTTATTTTTATATCTTGTTTATAATTTTAAACTTCATTAGCCTGGAGACCTTCAAGGCACTCGAAAGTACTTACATATTTTAAATTGCTTCTTTTCTTGATCTACTCCATCTACTGAAGGGGTGCTTTATAAGATTTTTTTTTTCCTATATATGTAGGAAACAGAAACCAGAGATTCTCAGGTATCAAAACTAAGAGAGAAGCTTCAGCTGATCAGTGCTCTCACAGGCAAGCCAGAAAATGACAGACCCTTTGAGACATCAAAGAATGGTGAGAATGTTGCATAATAGTAATCCATAAACCTGAAGGTTCCCTGTGTGATTCAAAGAATAACTAACAAAGGTGGATAATTTAGGCTGTTCCTTAAGATTTTTGGTGAAGATTATTTTGGTTAAAGTGGTAGGAAACTGATGGCTCTAAACCAGAAAACTATATATAACAACAAAAGTTTGAAGGTGACTTCCACGTGTGTAGCAGGATTCACATGCATCAGTAGCTTGTCTTTGATGGCATACAGAGATTAACTTGTAGAAATTTATACTCAGTAACATCTATTTTTGCTTTTTCAAAATCGAAGTGTAACATAGAGGAAGGGTCTGCATCTCTGCTGACTTGTCTCAGGTTTGCACTTTTTCTATATATTCAGGTAGTGGTGAAGACAGGATTTGAAATACTTCATTACAATAGAACAGTGCTTGTTGTTAATTTGCTAAGAAGTAACTTAGAGGTTTAGACCTTGCTGTTGGGGAAGATAGATGAAAACAACCTGGGTGGGCAGATGAAATTTGCTTATTAAAGTTTTTTCAGTGCTTTCAAACTGGGAAGTAGAAAGCACTTCCAAGTCATTCTTTGTATGGGGTTGACAAATATACATCTCCTAGGACAGCATGAAAGATTAAAGCTGTATAACTGTCTTTCCTTCTGTTCTTCCAATTATTGGTAAAAGGGGAGAACACTGCTGTATTCTGAAACAATTTTTCAGCATTCTTATCCCATACAGCATCTGTGATGCAAAAAACCCCATTAATTTTATCGGATTTTTTTTGTCTGCTAATTGTAGTTCAGTGGAATTAGTAAGACTAATAGAAATTGTTTTGTAACAGTTGAAAGTAGTCTGAGTACTACAGCAAAGCCCACAGACCTATCAAGGCTAGCTTCAAGGTCAGCTGATGACAACACAGAGAGTAACAGACAGCTGAGACATCTGTCCTTACCAGGAATTTCCAGCATCGAAGGTATGTCCTTTATACGCTGACCTTTTCTTTTTATGAATATTTCTTGTAAATATTTAGGAGATAAGTATAACTGGAACTATGGTAGTGTGTCTGGGCATTCTGGAGAAGTGAAGTCAATTTTAAAAGCTGGAGAACTATGGACTTGTGGGGGTTTTTTTTAAGTAATTAAAAAAGAAACCTGAAAGAAAAGACTAGCGTGTGAAAGAAGAAGTGGGATTTGAACAGGAGTGTGCATTATAAATGGATTGTATTTGTTTTGAGTGCCAAAGTATTATACCAAGTACCCCAAAGACTGAGAGAGAAGTCAAGGGCAGAATTAGGGTGCTCAAGGAAAACTAAGGAGGTGTGAGGGTGTATGTTTTGGGGTTTTTTTTCTTTTTTTTTTAAGAGAATACTGCATGGTCAAATGAAGGGTTTCTGGATCTTGCTGTTCAGTCTTTTCAGCTACTGAAAGGGCAATGCTTTGCATCAGGAAATGAATAGACACTTTTCCCTTTCTATCATCTGTGCTGTTGGTATAGCAACAGTATCCAGAGCTTGCTTTTGTGGAGGATAAGTGCATCTGTATGCAGTTAGTGGTTGTAGAATGGGCTATTACTTGTGGACAGAAATAGGGATTACTTTTTTCAGATGTAATATAATTTAATCCAGAAGTGTTCGTGCTTTTTTTCTCCTAAACTGTTACTGACAGTTTGTGACAATGCAGAAGGCAAACTACATAGTTGGGGATGCTTTATTTAATTACTAAGTAGTAAGACATAGTGCAGTAAAACTGGAAGAGCAGCTGGTAGGATATTCCTAGGTACTTATAGGAGCTATTTTTAAATCCTTGTTCTCTTTGCAGATCTTCAAAATTTGTTTGAAAAAGCAACTGAAGATGCTGATGAAAAACTATCATATGAGGATCTTCAAAAGCTGCTTGGCTCTACAGCCCAAGAGTCTCAGAGCTTTAAGAAATTTGACACAGATGGAGATGAGAAATACTCATTACAAGAACTGAGATTAGCTTTAGGTGTATAGGTTATATATTTAGAAATGTGATATTGTTGGATGCTACTGTAGCTAAAGAAAACTATGGGACATGAAAAACTACGTCTGCACTTTCCCAGTGTTTTACTGATCTTTGGAGCTAAATTACTGTACACGTTGCCACCTCCTTTTTAATTTGCATTTATTGAAAAGAAATTTACAAGTTATATGTCAATAGGACATAATATTGGGACTGTGTTAAAAGCCAGAAAATTCCCAAACTTGGAAACATTTTCCTCTCATTCTTTCCTTTTTAAGGGAGTTTTGTTTTTAATTTAAAATGTGTACATACTAAAATAAAATTATGGTTTTATATTTCACTGAAATTTGCCTTAAATTAGAGATCTGCACTTTATGTAAAGCAGAAAAAAATCTGTCTTGTAAAGATGGGCTTCTTCTGCTTGTAAATATTTGAGAGAGAGTAAATTATGCATATTTAAAGGAGAAGTTTGTGTCAGGGTCTGTGTTGGTAGTAAGCTGTTTATAATGAGAGACTGAGTATAAACGGGGTGGTTAAGAGCTTCAGCTAAATTTCTAATTTGAACTAAGTATACCCATGAATGAGTTTGGACTCAGATGAAGGCAGGAGTGGTAAATCATGCCCATCTATAGCAGGATTTCTTTTTAGAGGTAAGAGTTTAAACCATTTTTATATCATGAGCCTACAGGAGCAATTACTTACCAAGTGCTTGGGTTTTCACTTCAGCATTCTTCTAGCTTTGCTGTATTGCGTCCAGAGTCCATTTTGTGAGATGAGCCTATCTGTTTTTTTAGAAAAAGAAAGCTATTGAAGAACTTTAACAAATGCTTAAGAGGTAAAAGTCTACAATGCAGCCTGCTGAGTAGCACCTGACTAATTCATGCCTTGGAAGGATCAGTGGTGTGCTGATGGTCTCGCTGAGTGGTCACTGGAGATCTTTTGAACAGGGTTGCTGATGCTGGCAAGTTCTTCCATCCACTGTAGCTGGGGTCACTGATGAAGTGTCCCAAGTAAAGCTCCTGGTCACTAAGTGTCAGCAGGTGGGGAAGGCCCAGAAGAAACTTATGGGCTGTTTCCTGACTAAAGTGAACATTATCATTTCTTGGTACCTTCGCCTTCTTTGTTCTCACCAATGGAAGCATATCAAAAGCAGGATAGGAGTGTGAGGGTCGCATCAGCGTTCTCCACTGACGCATGCTTTGTAAGTGAGGTTTCCTTACTATGGGGGAACTTAAGGGTTTGTTTATACTCATGGATTTAAACACAGAGCTATGTGTATAACCTTCTGGAACATAGAAAATTACTGTTGTGGAAGGGATTCTGTTGCAGGCTAGATCAGGGCCAAGTTGGATGATTTTGCTCATAGATATTGCTGATCTTGGTGGGAGTTTTTTGCTTGATTAGTTAAGCTGCCCACCTCACTGAAACGTCAGTTTATGTGAAAGTTGGTTTGTTATTGTTGACTTTATATAAAATTTTAGACTGGATGTTTTATGAATAATTGTATTCTGGAAGTATGAATTGGTGAAGGAATGTCCAAAATTGAACCCTGTCACCCATTGCCTAGGCTTCTTTCACTGTTGCTCTTCTATCCTGTTTGGGTAATGCAGATGTGACCCAATACCGAGATGCTTTTGAATGATGTTTGAAAACACAGTATTTAAAAACAAAGCAAACCCAACCAACCTTGGCTTTTGACAGGACAAGAAGCCGACACTTGCTTCTTCCTGCTTCCCATGCCCTTTTATACACTATGTATAATTCCTTAACCAAATTAAAAAAAAACCTAGCAATAAAATGTAACCATTCTGGTATTTTATTTGTACATACTGTATCATAGCCATATGCCAGAGTTTGCAAAATATTTTTGGAAGTTTGGTTTGTACAGAACTTACCTTAAAATTTAAGGGATTACTGTATTGCTGTGTGAATCTTCTCGTGTTTTGTTTTGTTGCAGTCTGCTTTACTTTTAGGAGGGTCTTCAACAGCAGTGGTGAAACTGTCAGCTAGAGACAACGTGTGCCGATCCAGCTGCCCATGTCCTCTGCCTGTGGCCAAGGAGCCGAGCTGTTCAGCGATGGGCACTGGGGCACAGCTGTCCAGCGGCGCTGCACCATGTGCATGTCAAGAGCATAGTCGATTGCTGATTGCTGTAGTCACTGCTGTTGTCGGATGGACCTGTGCTATCAGTTTAACAGAATCCCATCACCCCTGAGTACAGTGCTCATTGTTTGGCCCAGGGTAGCGTGGGAGCCCCCGCCCCCAGCCAGCCGCTCCCCTCCCTGGGAGTTTTCTGCTGCGCCGCTGCTCTGCATCCTGCATGCTCTGCACAGCCCCGCTGATGGGGGTTGGCAGCCTTCCTCCTCCGGGTTTTATTCACGCTGCAGATGGTAGAGGGCATAAGAGCCCCGGGTGCAGTAAATACACTTGTCGGGGTCTGCTCTCTGCTGTGGAAAGTGACAAATAAATGAAACGGTGAGAGGGAGGGGTCAGGGCTGTAGCGGGACCGGAGCGGTGCCCTGCTGAGGCTTGCTGTTGGGCTGTGATGCTCGGGTTCATTTTCAGGCTGTATTTGGGGTTTTTTGGGTGACTCCTGTGCAGGGACCACTGTGTACCCTTCAGTTACTGACCGGTGCTGGGCCTGCACCACTCCGCTGGCTTTGAGCTACGGCACCGCACGCCTTTTCTCCTGTAACGCGATTTTTAATTTATCTAAATAAAAGTTCATTTTCAGC